TTTCTCTGCCGTCAGCAAGGGGTATCACAAGCATTTGATAAAAAATAGAGTATATCCAAAGTGTAGATCACGACAAAACGCTTCTTCAGAGTTGGCTGACGGCTTCGGTAGACGCGGATATGGCGACAGCAAAGCCAACGAATCGTCATGCCAATGCTATTCGTATAACATTTATAGCAAAAAAAATATCGAAGGATAGAAAATACAAAAAGCAGAAGATAAATGAAATCGCTGTGGCAACATGTGCCTTATTGAATAGCAATGGCGGTACCGCTGAATTTCGTGGTGAAGAAACGGAAGAAAACTTGGTCACCACCACGATACTCGACTCCTTGACTCGACTACTGGAACAGTCATCGACATCCCGGTTTGGAGCTCAGATAACGGGGTCAGTTAACATTTTTGAGGACAAACATGAAAAAGTGATAAAAATTCATGTGAGTGAAGCGCCCTTCCTCGTTGCGATTAGATACAATCTTTACCGACCCACTCAAAAACAAAGTGAGCTCATTGACAATGTCCGGGGTGCGTTAAAAATAATTAACAGAAAACTTGTTGATCAACCCGTCCAACTTGGCTCACACCACAAAACATTTCTAAAAGGTCAAAACTGTGGTCTTAGAGAAAATGAGGTCATTCAATTCAAGCTCCTGAAATCAGATCCATCCAAGCGCGTCACACTCGCAGATCGTATGATTGGTAAAAGTAACAAATTCAGTTGTTACGTATCAGCGTTCGCTAACCACAGGGGTGGTCACATTTACTATGGTATTGATGATGATGGCATCGTCCAGGGGGAGGAAACAAAATTCACTTTTGAAATTGAGAAGAAAGTTGAAAAAGCCATCCAGAAGATGATCTGGCCTGACGTGATTGGTCAACCAAAACGAGGAGAACACTGAGAAATTTTCTTTGAACCAGTGCTGGACGAGAAGTCCAACCTTATCCCATCAACGTTTGTGATCGTGATCTTTATCGCTCCTTGTTTTGGTGGAGTGTTCACAGAGGAACCAGAAAGCTATGAAATGGTGGGGGGAAAAGTTGAAAGAATGTCGTTCACAACTTGGAAGGAGAAACTACAACCTGTTGGTCTGAACAAGAGAAAACAGGGAGTTCCTTCCACAATGAAACGTATTTCGTTAGGTCCTGCGTCAAAAAAACGTTGCCGTGAGACTCATGAAATCTTAACCGAGGCCATTAATAACGGTGAGTGGGAATTATTTCCGAGTTGCGCCAGTGAACTTGAGCAGAAACATCCTGACAATCTTGAGGTAAAGTTAGTAGTGTTGTCGAGGAAAGTGATAGCAAATTGTAGACAAGGCAACATTCCAAATGCACTTAACTTGCTTACTGAATTCCAAGAATGCTCTCAACACGCAGAGCAACCCTTGGTTTTTGAAACGCTTTTTTATTTTTCGAAAATAGCAATGGGGCGTATATCTGGGCAAACTGGAGCTGAATTTCGAGATATCTCAACAAACGCTTTAATGATAGCGGAAGGCATAGAACCAGGACTTTGTACTGCTGCTCTCTATTTAGTCTTAGCATCAATATATGACGATAGTCAAAACGACGCAGGATTATCGCCGGACATACTTTGTATCAAGGCACTGGAACATCTGGAGTATGTTGAAGATGCTCCAGTGGCACGGGCAGACCTGTATCATAATGCGCACATCACGTTAGCAGCATATCATCTGGGATATAATTTATCAGGAAAGATATCAAAAGAGACATCGATAAAGAAAGTCTTCAAAAAGCCAAAACAAGTATAATGGCAGTAAATCAATCAGTATGTGACGGAAATCCACTAACGGAATACAGAGAGATTTGGTTCACATTGGCAAAATCAATTCTTTACATTAGACACTCACAACTTGAACAAGAAAAGCAAACAAAATTCCTGGACGCAGCATTTAATTACGCAAAGAAAGCTGAGAATCTCGCAAAAAAATCTGGTCTCGTGGAAATGGTTTGTTGGGCTCAGAATCTCATTCAACAATTGGTTGTTGTACCGAAGGGAGAATGAAAAAACGGTATGTTGAACTCAACTAAACTAAACTGTAGAAACAATACAGACCATCTCTGATATTTCACTCAGTTTTGCTAAAGGAATATCTCAGTTCTCGGGATTGATATTTTATGTAGCTAAGGATCCGCCTCCAATTATTTTCTCTGTATAGCTAGTGTCAGTCTTTGTAAACGGTGCGTGTTCTCCGTGTAAAGGTCTTAGGTCTTATTCCCCGACACCTTGGGGGAGAATATCGTATAGGGAAAACCCCTATTATAAAACGCAGTTAGATAATAAACATGCTATTTATGCAGCAGAAGTCCTTATAGACGTTATAGACGTGACAGTTCTCTCAAGAAAGTATTATACATCGTTTGGTATCGTATTGTTTGTTGTATTAAACACCGAAAACACGGTATATAATAGCTATAAATGTATACGAGCTAATAAACAAGATATGTCACAGAGGTTTAGTTCAAGAACGGCAACGAGCGTCGACGAATGTCGGTTGAAAAGACTAATAAATGGAGTTGCTCATCCACGAATGGAATTATCACGCCTTTATTAGCCATTTTATGTGGTCTTCCGTCGTTGTTTCCGTCTTAAAGCGGAATCCTTCTCTCCCTCCGTTATTTAACCACTCAGTCCTGGTGGGCTCTCCAGTCCTCTAATATGATCACATGGATTTATTTAATCAATTTATAAAACATTGCCGTATTTTTCGTCAAACGATAAATGATAAACAACAGTATGCAAACGAGCCAGTTATAGATATAGATTATATATATTAGTTATAGATTATCGGGATTTCGGTGTCTTAAAGTGTATCGTTAATTTTTTTTGGATGCATTAATTAAAAGAGGGAACAGCAATATGAATGAAGTAATCTGTTTACCATTTTACCGCTTTTACATTGTATAATAACATAAATCCATTTACAAAAACCACAACGCGATCTCAATTTATTGAAAATAATTAATTCAATTAAGCAAAGCTGTACTTGTAGGCTGTAGCCGTGCAACGTTTCGCGGGTAATTTACATGAATGTTCGCATTATGTTGATCGATGATTGCCTGGTAGTGGGTCTGAAGGCAAGCGCCCCAACGACTAATGTTCATGCAGCTTATGTAATTTCAGTTTGTCATTTTTGAGAAATCAGTAACAATATCAGGGCCGCCCAGAAGGGGAGGAGCAATTTGCCCTGGGTTCCCGGCTGACGGGGTCCCGCAAAAAGTTATAAGGATAGAATTGAATTCACTGTTGAGAATATATGGTCCTCTTTCCACAAAAGGTGTACTAAGAGGTTTGAAGTTTTATATATCAGTCTTATATTTAGCCGGTAAAGTATCTGACCCCCAAAACGAAAGAAATCGCATCTGCTGTACTCTAAATTTAAATTATCATTAAGAGTGATTACAACACAAAATATTTATTAATATCACATTACATTGGTACAAAACAATGAACTAACTATGCTATTTTTGTGACGTTCTACTGTCAGACTCGTGTTTAAAGTAATATCGCTGCTATTTCGCCGTTTAACAAGATGTGGTCGTGTATGGGCGCGTTGACACGTCGCAGTTTGCACAGGATTGAAGATTTAATATAACTATATGAAAGTGCGAATTCCAAAGGCAAAGCGTAAGACAAAGTGAACGTATCATGCGGTTTATTTACATTTGCGAACAATTGAACTTCTGTACTTTTTGAAGTACGATGTGCTTCTGAATTTCGCGTTCGAATACCATTTAGGTTCGCAAGGCATCTGAATGAGTATGAACTGTATTGTTTATGTTCAGAAGCTTTATATTGAAGACTGGCACGTGCGCCGTAGTTAACGCCAGAACAGGCGTCTTGTTATTATATAAAACGATATATAATCCGTTTTTTTCTTTATAATTCGAGCGATACTAGCCCCACCTAAAAGGTATATGAGCCACCACGCCGCTGCACTGAATATTGACCAGGTCATCTCTAATACTTTACTAGTTTTGCTAAAGGCATCTTCGAGGACCGAGACTGACATTTTACTGCAAAGATCCGCTTGTACTTGTAGTGTCTTTGTAGAATCTGCATGTACGTGTACTCCTGTCTAAAGGTCTTATTCCCGGATACCTGGGAAGAATATCGTATAGGGAAAATCCCTACAATTTAAAACGCAGTCAAATAATAACAATGTGTTATGACGCAGAAGTGCTTATAGGCGTGAAAAATCTTTCAAGAAAACTTATATACATCGTTTGGTATGTACAATTTTATACACATTTTTACGTACATATCTAGCATTTATTATTGCTTATTATACAGCGAAGACACGCTATACATGCAATATATAGCACTGCCTATATGCAATACGAACTCAAGAGGTTTAGTTCAAGGACGACAACAAACGTCGACGAAAGTCGAAATGACTAATAAATGGCGTTGCTCGTCCATGAATGGGATCATCACGCCTTTATTATAGCTATTTTATGTGTTTTTCCGTCGACGTTTCCGTACTAAAGCGGAATCTTGCTACTGCTATAGACGCAATCCGCAGAGATTAAAACATGATCAATGTCTATCTCAAAGCGATTTAAACGGATCACAAAGTCAAGTCAGTTACGCTGATTGTTTTTTTATTTGATACGCTAACCGCTTTGCAAAGATTATTGTCAGCAGGTACTAATATGTCACAATTATGCAAGTATACAATGGAAGACATATATACTTCCGTGTAATAAATTAGTAGCTATACCGTAAATAATCGATTAAGCGCCGCGGCGCTTATTGCAAATCGATTTAAAGACGCGACGCTTATTTGACACTTGACAGCGGCGCTTATTTCAAAGTGAGCAAATAGATTATTTTCTAAAGGCCGATGAATCGAATGAACTTTTGGTAGAAGTTACAGGAAAAAGAAAGCGCGAAGTTGGGCTGGTGCTTCCCGCTAAGTTCACAGCATATACGCCGAATCGACGACATGCCTAAGTGTTAGACGCGGAGTTAATTAGGAAGAAGGAAAATTTTAAACTATCAGAACTGTCATATGAGCCCGTTTGTAAGAGATATTCGACAGTAAAACTTTAAAGTTTCAATACTGGCCGTCGTTCTCAGTAGTTTAATTCTTTTGTGAATTAAAATCGTAGATCGCTGTCTAAAAGTTAACTGACGAGATGGCAAGAGCAATGTCAACGTACTGCCGTATTGATGATGATATTCACATCTCTGTGTCCATAGAAGAAATATCGAAGGATAGGAAATACAGAGAGCAGAAGAAACATGAAGTTGCTATTGCAGTCTGTGCCTTGTTCAACAGCAATGGCGGAACAGTGGAAATACGTGGTGAAGAAACGGAAGGTAACTTGGACTCCACTACGATACTCGACTCCTTGATTCGAACTCTAGAACAGTCATTAATGTCACGGTTTGGAGCTCAGATAACAGAGTTGGTTTCTATGCACTTCGAAGATCAAAATGCGAAAAAGATATCAATTAAAGTCAGTAAAGCTCGCTTCCTCGCAACAGTTAATTCTAATCTCTACCGACCAACTCAAAAACAAGTTGCGCTCATTGACAATGTCCTGAAAGCGTTAAAAATAATGAACAGAAGATTTGTTGATCAACCCGTCCAACTTGGCTCACACCAGAAAAAAATTCTTAAAAATCAAAACTGTTGCCTCAGAGAAAATGAGGTCACTCAATTCAAGCACCTGAAATCAGATTCATCAAAGCGTTTCACACTCGCAGATCGTATGATTGGTAAAAGTAACAAATTCAGTTGTTACGTATCAGCGTTTGCTAACCACAGAGGTGGTCACATTTACTATGGTATTGATGATGATGGCGTTGTTCATGGCGAGAACACAGAAAACATTCCTGAAATTGAGAAGAAAGTTGAAAAAGCCATCCAGAAGATGATCTGGCCTGACGTGATTGGTCAACCAAAACGAGGAGAACACTGGGAAATATTCTTTGAACCAGTGTTGGACGAGAACTCCAACCTTATCCCATCAACGTTTGTGATCGTGATCTTTATCGCTCCTTGTTGTGGTGGAGTGTTCACAGAGGAACCAGAAAGCTATGAAATGGTGGGGGGAAAAGTTGAAAAAATGTCGTTCACAACTTGGAAGAAGAAACTACAGCCTGTTGGTCTGAACAAGAGAAAACAAGAAGTTCCTCCCACAGTTAAACGTATTTCACTAAGTCCTGCGGCAAAAAAATGTTGCCATGACGCTTATGAGGGTTTAACCGAAGCAACTAATAACGGTGACAGGAAATTATTCACGATTCGCGTCAGTGAACTTGAACTGAAATATCCTGACAACCCTGAAGTACAATCAGTAGTGTTGTCGAAAAGAGTGATAGTAAATTATCGACAAGGAAATTTTTCAAATGCGTTAAGCTTGCTTAATGAATTCCAAGAATGCGTTCCACGGACAGAGCAACCCTTGGTTCTTGAAGTGCATTTTTGTTATCTAAAAACAGCAATGGCGCGTGTGTCTGGCAAAACTGATGAATCTCGAGATATCTCAACTGACGCTTTAACCAAAGTGGAAGGCGTAGGACCTGGACTTTTTACTGCTGCTCTCTATTTAGTCCTTGCATCAATTTATGATGATAGTCAAAACGACGCAAGATTATCGCCGGACATACTCTGTACCAAGGCACTGGAGCAATTGGAGTATGTTGAAGATGCTCCAGTGACACGGGCAGACCTGTTTCATAATGCACACATCACGTTAGCGACTTTTCATCTGGGGTATAATTTGTCGGTAAAGATGATCAAAAAGGACATCGACAAAGAAAGTCTTCAAAAAGCCCAAGACAGTATAATGGCAGTAAATCAATCACTAGTTAAAGGAAATCCGCTAGCGGGATACAGAAAGATTTCATTCATATTGGCACAATCAATTCTTTACATTAGACACTCGGAACTTGAACCCGAAAAACAAACGAGACACCTCAAAACAGCATTTAACTTTGCCAAAGAAGCTGAGAATCTCGTCAAACATTCTGGTCTCGTGGAAATGGTTTGCTGGGCTCAGACTGCAATTGCTTCTTGTACTGAGGCATTATTGCTTGCGATGTTTAGGAAAACGAAAAACATAAGGGTATTTAAAGTAAAGGTAAAAGTGCAGGGGGCAGGATATATCGCTACGGTCTAGATGATACCAGTTAGAGTAGTGAGACCTGGTGAATGAGTTAAACGAGTAAATAATAACTACAGTAATTTCACTGAAGGGAGATTTGGGATATATATTGCTCGAATAGATTTTCGTAAAACAAGACGTTCTACTCTCAGACTCGTGTTTAAAATGTGAATCGGGCTTCCAATACAAAAGCGGCAGTGAAATTTGGCACGGGTACCGATTTTAGCCGTTTCGTGCCGATAAATTGAGTGTAGTGTAAACGGGGCTAAAATAGTACACATGTTTGCCTAGAATATAAAAATATACTATTGCATCATCCCTTCCTCCAGCATATTATTCACTTTGCCAACCGTCGACCCGTCGTTCTGTGGCTGAATATTGGCCAGATCATCTCTTAAACTCCACTTCATCTACAATTAGCTACTGAGATACAAGCATATATGAAATTTAAAAATGTGTTTCAAATACAACTATATATATTGTTATTGCATATAATATATGCTGATCCACTTCAATTGTCAGTCTAGAAATGTCTTCAGGCATGACAAAACGTACTTAAATAACATTTTGAAAACATGTAACATATGGCTTTTCGTAAAGCAACATGTTCAGCTCTCGTGTTTAAAATAAGAATGATATATACGTACGTTTCCCGCGTTCGCCACAGTAATGTACACATATTTGCCTGTATAATATATTGAAGATAAGAATCATTTGCGCTGATTGTTTTTGTTATTTAGATTTCTCTGCCGTCTCCGAAAGAGAACTGAGCTACTATTGCCGGCAGGGGGTATCACGAGCATTTGAGGAAAATACATGCGCATAAATTAATCTTAATTTTGGACTTACAAAGCGTGAATCACAATCAGAAAGTAAGCAATGTCAACGTATCATTATCTCGAAGACGTAATTCATACTTATTCTCGGTGGAAAAAATATCGAAGGATAAAAAATAAGCCCCGTTTATATAAGCCCGTCTCAGTTAACCAAATAACAAAACGACCAAAAGTGTGTTGTTGGTTTTCCTAAAGCTTATTTTTTACGCCGATGGCCCGTTGTATTATTGGTCAATAGTAACCCGGCATCTCTGATATTCTCTCTTATCTCATTTAAAGACAGAAGTTGACATTTGTATTGGATCCGCCTTGTTTTTTACTCTGTAGTGTCTTTCAAAGAACATTGCGTGGGTTGAGACTTTCTCCGGTACTGGGAAAAATCTCCCGTAGGGAAATTCCCTGGAACATTTAGGAATATCGTATGAACGCACGAAGTTTATAATATTCTGCTCCAAATACGTCGTCAGAAGTGACAAGTTTTCTCAACAAACGGAAGGTGAGTGCAAACACCGATATGTAACTAGTCTTTTTGTTGTAAAAATAAAAGGAATCCAAGCAAACTGTGTATACACTCGCTACACTATATTATTTACACACTATTTTCATACAGTGAAGGTTTACAGAAACAAAGGTCACAAAACATCTTTCGACCAAGTGGGAAGTAACTATGTCAATTGTGTAAAATTTGAAAATGTATTTCGAATACAACTATTTTCATGTAATACTGTCTCCCACTTCTCAAACCTACATTCTTGGAAACCTAAATGGTTTTAAAAAATAAATACGGTTCCCACCAAGTATACCAATCAGTCCAGTCTCTAGCAAAAATATTGTAGACATATTACCCTTGGCTTACATATCTATAAAATGTATTACTGCATCAACGCCTGCTTATTTATTCACTGAGGGAAAAAACATGTATGATATATAATAGGCAGATATATCTGGGCAGGCGTTCATCATAAGGTCGATTCTGCTTTGACACAGGTAAAAATTTAGCTGACTGTTTTGTTTTATTTTTAGATCTCCATACGTCTTTCAATGTACATTACCAGCAGGAGGCATCCGTAACTCGTGTATATTCAAATCATTTATTCGTCATAACTATAAAACGTTTTCTAAGAGTTGTCTGACGAGATGGCGACAGCAATGTCAACGTATCGTTATCGCGATGACGTCAGTCATATAAGATACTCGGTGGAAAAAATATCGAAGGATGAGAAAAAAATACAGAGATCAGAAGAAACAGGAAGTTGCTATTGCAGTCTGTGCTTTGTTGAACAGCAATGGCGGAACAGTGGAAATACGTGGCGAAGAGACCGAAGGAAACTTGGCCCCCACAACGATACTTGATTCCTTGATTCGAACTCTAGAACAGTCAATACTATCCCGGTTTGGAGATCATATAAGTGATATAACTGAGTTATTTTCTATGAAATTCGAAGATACAAATGCGAAAATGATATCAATTAGAGTCAGTAAAGCTCGCTTTCTCGCCACAGTTAATTCTAATCTCTACCGACCTACTCAAAAGCAAGTTGAGATCGTTGACAATGTCACGAACGCTAGAGAAATTATGAAAAGAAGATTAGTTGATCAACCCGTCCAACTTGGCTCACACCACGAAACATTTCACAAAAATCGAAACTGTTCCTTCAGAGAAAATGAGGTCATTCAATTCAAGCTCCTGAAATCAGATTCATCAAAGCGCGTCACACTCGCAGATCGTATGATTGGTAAAAGTAACAAATTCAGTTGTTACGTATCAGCGTTCGCTAACCACAGGGGTGGTCACATTTACTATGGTATTGATGACGATGGCGTTGTTCATGGAGAGGAAACAGAAAACATTTCGAAAATTAAGAAAAAAGTTGAAAAAGCCATCCAGAAGATGATCTGGCCTGACGTGATTGGTCAACCAAAACTAGGAGAACACTGGGAAATTTTTTTTGAACCAGTGCTGGACGAGAAGTCCAACCCTATTCTATCAACGTTTGTGATCGTGATCTTTATCTCTCCTTGTTTTGGTGGAGTGTTCACAGAGGAACCAGAAAGCTATGAAATGGTAGATGGAAAAGTTGAAAGAATGTCGTTCAAAACTTGGAAGGAGAAACTACGGCCTGTTGGTCTGAACAAGAGAACACTAGAAGTTCCTTCCGCAATGAAACGTGTTTCATTAAGTCCTGCGGCAAAAAAACGTTTCATTGAGGTTCATGAAGTTTTAACCGATGTCTTGAATAACGGAGAATGGGCTAATTTTGAAATATTGGCCAGTTCTTTTGAAGAGAAATATCCTGACAATCCTGAAATAACGTTAGTAGTGTTGTCGAGAAAAGTGATGGAAAAGTATCGACAAGGAAATATACGCGAAGCGTGTACCTTGCTCGATAAATTCAGAGAATGTTCTCACCGAGCAGAGGAACCTATGGTGTTTGAAGTCCTTTCACAGTTTTTGAAAACAGCATTAGAGCGTGCGGCTGGCAAAACTGCTGAATCTCAGGGAATCTCAACGTGCGCTTTAGCAATGGTAGATCACGTACAACCCGGACTTTGTACTGCAGCTGTCTATTCAGTCCTTGCATCAGTTTATGATAAAAGTCAAAACGACGCAGGATTATCGCCGGACATACTTTGTATCAAGACACTGGAACACCTGGAATATATTGAAGGTGCTCCAATAGCACGAGCAGACCTGTATCATACTGCGCACATCTTATTGGCAGCATATCATCTGGGATATAATTTGTCAGGAAAGATGATCAAAAAAGACATCGATAAGGAAAGTCTTCAAAAAGCCCAAGCAAGTATAATGGCAGTAAATCAATTAGTTTGTGGCGGAAATCCGCTAACAGAATACAGAAGGAAGATAGATTTGGTTCACATTAGCTCAAACAATTCTTTACATCAGACACTCGCAACTTGAGCCTAAAAAACAAAATATACACCTGAAAACAGCATTTAAGTTGGCAAAAAAAGCTGAAAATCTCGCCAGAGATTCGGGTCTAGTGGAAATGGTTAGCTGGGCTCAGAATCTTAGTCAACAGGTACAGAATAGTCATAAATAGGTATCGATATATATTTAAATAATCGATATATATAGAAATAGCAGAAATAGCAACTACTAATCAGGTTATGAAAAGATAGGAGAGTATTTACCATCCTGTCTTTCTAAATAAAACGTTAAGGGCAGTTTTTATGCCAAGACATCCTCTGACCAAGCGAATGGAAATCTCGTTTGAAGATTTGAAAATGTTATCATGTATATAGAGTCCACTTTGTCTGGAGATGTCTTTAAACTATGACTCTGTGCACATGTACGGTAAGGTTTTCAAGCGTTTCATTTTTGTTTTTGTCCAAAACGGTTTCAAACACCGTCAATTTGCAATAGAAATTGAAGCCAATTTAACATATTGAGCATAGCATATTGAGCATAGCATATTGAGCATAGCATATTGAGCATAATTGAGCATAGCATATTGAGCATAGCATATTGAGCATAGCATATTGAGCATAGCATATTGAGCATAGCATATTGAGCATAGCATATTGAGCATAGCATATTGAACATAGCATATTGAGCATAGCATATTGAACATAGCATAATTGAGCATAGCATATTGAGCATAGCATATTGAGCATAGCATATTGAGCATAGCATATTGAGCATAGCATATTGAGCATAGCATATTGAGCATAGCATATTGAGCATAGCATATTGAGCATAGCATATTGAACATAGCATATTGAGCATAGCATATTGAGCATAGCATATTGAGCATAGCATATTGAGCATAGCATATTGAGCATAGCATATTGAGCATAGCATATTGAACATAGCATATTGAGCATAGCATATTGAGCATAGCATATTGAGCATAGCATATTGAGCATAGCATATTGAGCATAGCATATTGAGCATAGCATATTGAGCATAGCATATTGAGCATAGCATATTGAGCATAGCATATTGAGCATAGCATATTGAGCATTTAACATACAGACAAAAAGGATTTTGAGAACGCCCGGAAACGACGCTCCTGTGCACATAGCCTTAGTTACGAGTTACGACGAAACGTTACTTTGTAAATTATTTAACCTAAATTGAGCGAATAGCTTTTCGTAAAACAAGACGTTCGACTCTCAGACTCGTGCCTCATCTAAACGGGGCTTAGAACGTATTCTATTGCTTCGTCGGCTTTCTAAAGCTCTAAAACTCCACTTGTTTTGATCAAATAATATCTCATTTCAAAAGGTTGAGATTTTACTATATGTGGTCATTGTAATATCTGCTTCATGATCCATGCCTGTTCATTTTCTCTGTAGTGTCTTTATATATAATAACGTTAATTACGTGGGTTGAGAGTCTTCTTCCTGTCACCTGGTGAGAATCTCTCGTATAGCGAAATTCCCATATAAATATATATTTAAAAAGGTGTTATGCACTCGATAAGTTAATATGCTTGTGCATCAGATACGTACACGTTTAAACTGTGAAATATTCTCTCAAACAAGTGTAGCTGTACATCGTTTGGTAAGTACATGCTGATATATAACTGGTTTTTGTTTCAGTAAATGCATTCGAGGCAAAATTTTAAGTGTGTGTATGCATTTGTATTATAATTTGAAGTCCAAACGTGCTTTAAGAAACAATTTAGGATCAAACTTCAAAAAATACACCGAGTAACGTTTCATATAGCTACTACTATAGCTATCTCTCAAGAATGTTAAGAAATCTTTCGACCAAGTTCATAAAATTAATGAAATACATATGAAATTTGAAATGTGTTTCAAATACAACTATATATATTGTTATTACACATAATATATGCTGATCCACTTAAATTGTCAATCTAGAAATGTCTTCAGTCATGACAAAACGTACTTTAAATAACATGCAAACCTGTAAAATATGGCTTTTCGTAAAGCAAGATGTTCAGCTCTCGTATTGAATATGAATACGGTTCCCGCTCGGCACAGTAATATGTCTATACAGAATATGTAAAATGTATTATTGGATCGATCGGTGTGTATTTGTTTATCTATCGAGTTCAAAGACAACTTTTAAAATTTATATACATGCAGGAAGTCGAAGCTTCAAAACGCGGTCAATCTCAATCTCAGAACGATTCATGCAGACATTGTTGAAGATAAAATCAGTTACGCTGTTTGTTTTGTTATTTAGCTTTCTCTGCCGTCTTTCAAAGAGTACTACTCCCAGCAGGGGGTGTCACGAGACTTTGATGGAAAATACATGCGCATAAATTACTCTTTGGACTTGCAAAGCGTAGGTCACAATCATTAAAAAGAAATCACACGTTTTTTGTAAGAGTTCGCTGACGAGATGGCGACAGCAATGTCAACGTATCGTTATCTGGAAGACGTAATTCATATAATATTCTCCGAGGAAAAAATATCGGAGGATAAAAAATACAGAGAGCAGAAAAAAGAAGAAATTGTTAATACAATCTGTGCCTTGTTAAACAGCAATGGCGGAAAAGTGGAAATACGTGGTGAAGAAACGGAAGGTAACTTGGTCTCCGCCACGATACTCCACTCCTTGACTCGAACGCTAGAACAGTTATCAGAGTCCAGGTTTCGAGCTCAGATAGTCGATTCGATTAACATTTTCGAGGACAAAAAAGAGAAAGTGATAAAAATTTGTGTGGGTGAAGCTCCCTTTCTCGTCACAATTAAATACAATCTTTACCGACCCACTCAAAAACAAGTTGAGCTTTTTGGCAATGACAATCTCCCGAATGTGGAAAAAATATTAAACAGAAAATTTGTTGATCAACCCGTCCAACTTGGCTCACACCAGAAAACATTTCTTAACGGTCAAGACTGTGATCTTGGTCAAAATGAGGTTATTCAGTTCAAGCACCTGAAATCAGATTCATCAAAGCGCGCCACACTCGCAGATCGTATGATTGGTAAAAGTAACAAATTCAGTTGTTACGTATCAGCGTTCGCTAACCACAGGGGTGGTCACATTTACTATGGTATTGATGATGATTGCGTTGTTCAGGGAGAGGAAACAGAAAACATTTCCGAAATTGAGAAGAAAGTTGAAAAAGCCATTCAGAGAATGATCTGGCCTGACGTGATTGGTCAACCAAAGCGAGGAGAACACTGGGAAATTTTCTTTGAACCAGTGCTGGACGAGAAGTCCAACCCTATCCCATCAACGTTTGTGATCGTGATCTTTATCGCTCCTTGTTGTGGTGGAGTGTTCACAGAGGAACCAGAAAGCTATAAAATGGTGGTAGGAAAAGTCGAAAGAATGTCGTTCAAAACTTGGAAGGAGAAACTACAGCCTGTCGGTCTAAACAAGAGGAAACAAGACGTTCCTTCCACAGTTAAACGTATTTTATTAAGTCCTGCGGCCAAAAAACGTTTCATTGAGGCTAACGAAGTTTTAACCGAAGTCATGAATAACCAAGATTGGAAATCTTTCACGAGACGCGCCAGTCAACTTGAGCATAAATATCCCAACAATCTTGATGTAAAGTTAGTAGTGTTGTCCAGTAGAGTAATGGCAAAATATCGACTAGGCAATACTCAGGAAGCGTCTACCTTGCTTACTAAATTCCAAGAAAGTTTTCCCCGGACAAAGGAACCAAAGGTGTTTGAAGGGCATTTTCTGTTTTTGAAATCGCTTGTAGTACGTGTGTCTGGCAAAACTGATGAATCTCGGAAAATAGCATTTGACGCTTTAACCGTAGCAGAACAAGTAGAACCTGGACTTTGTACTGCTCCTATTTATTTAGTCGCCGCATTATCTTGTGATTACCGTCAAAACGACGAAAGATTATCGCCGGACATACTTTGTATCAAGGCACTGGAACACCTGGAGTATGTTGAAGGTGCTCCAACGGTACTGGCAGACAAGTGTCATACTGCGCATATCGTGTTAGCAACTCATTACTTGGGATATAACATGTCGGGAAAGGTGATCAAAAAAGACATAGATGAAGAGAGCCTTAAAAAAGCCCAAGCAAGTATAATGGCAGTAAATCAATCAGTGTGTGAAGGAAATCCATTAACAGAGTACAGGGAGATTTGGTTCGCACTGGCTCAATCATTTCTTTACATTAGACACTCGCAACTCCAACCTGAAAAGCAAACGAAATTCTTACGAACTGCATTGAAGAACGCAAGAAAAGCTGAGAATCTCGCTAAAGATTCTGGTCTCGAGGAAATGGTTTGCTGGGCTCAGACTACAATTGCTTCTTGTGTAGAGGCATTAGTAGTTGGGACTTTGATGAAAATAAAAAACATAAAGGTATATAAAGTAGAGTAGTTGCAAAAGCTGCGGGTACGCGGGTACCAACCGTGAGGAAGGTTTGTTTTGAATGAGGTTTGTGAAGAAGGCAGTTTTCATGTCACGTCTGCGTCGTAGATTTGGTGCATCTTAAACTCGCTAATGCAACGCGTTAATTGATACAATAATACATTTCATTAGGTGTGCTAGGTAGAAATACGTGCGATATTGCATGTAACCGGAAACGTTGCAGGAAACGTATAGCTATATATAGACATTCACATGTATATTTTAAACACGGGTGCCAAACACGTTTCCTGACACGAATTATCTAAGTTTAGTAGTACTAGTAGAGGCATGCACGATTAACACAATTTAGTTTACATAACGCTACGTCGTAACTGAAGAAAACTTCACACAACGTGGAAAGGGTACGTATTGTATTCAAGATATATGCTAAATATAATATGACATATAACTCTACCGATGTTTTACTTTGCCAGAATTTACTGAGGCTGCGTTCACAAGATACTGGTTTGCTCGTTACGACATCCTTCAAATCACAGACATTAAAAAACTTCACTGTACTTTATTAACTTCAAAATTTGACCTGTTCCGACGGCAATCCGGTATACCCTGTGAACGGCGCCGGAATTTATAGTGCAAAAGGGCGGTTACATATCCGCCCGCGTACTTACCACACGATCATACGTTTTGTTGAGAGAATATTTCACATCTAAACCCCTCAGCACAAATCAGTTTATCATTTGCGTTAAACAACAAATATAATCAGGTTATCATATGCATAAACAAAAAAGGGGGTTTTCCCTATACGAGATTCTCCCCAGGGACCGGAGGAATGACTCTCAAAAGATGGCATATTGTACGTCAGGTGAATATTCGTATTTCAAGTCTAACAACGCGGTGGAGATAGCCGCATTTGCAAACACGACCGTTGCATATTTTGAATTTAGCAGCATAAAAGTCTCACAGAAGTATAGAAGGAAAAAAATATATTCAACTTGATCTTCAAGTACATTATTACTGTTTATTATCGGTATATAAATAAAGGAACGATTAGAATGCCCGCTGAGAGAGATTCGAGACATGTTAAACCCACGCCACCCCCTCATTCGTGCCTCTGCCTAATAATTTACTCTCGACCATTAAAAAATCTTCTTGTGATGGCATTGTACATCCTGTAAAGTATTTTACAATACATTCGACCATAGCGATGTAATCAGTTGTCCATCTTCATCAAAATGGTCTATTGTATATTACTATAGGCAAAGGCACGTATAGTAACGCCTGTATTCTAAAACCTCACTCACACTCAAACTCATTAAGTGAGCGATCTTAATCTTCTCATAGCGTTTCCATGGAGGTATTTCCACTCGAACAAGATCTTGATTTTCAGTGCTTTACCTTGAATGGCTCCAATGGTTACAACTTTCTCATTGATCGATCAGTAATAATAACATTTGTATGTGACAATCAATGAGTGTGAGTGTGCTTTTTGGATACAGGCACGTATATATATATATATATATATATATATATATATATATATATATATATATATATATATATATATATATATATATATATATATATATATATATATATATATAATATAGAGTTATTCTCACACTCTTTGCTGTACTTTATACACCATACTGTTTTTTATTTTCATCAAAGTCCCAACTACCAATGCCTCTACACAAGAAGCAATTGTAGTCTGAGCCCAGCAAACCATTTCCTCGAGACCGGAATCTTTAGCAAGATTCTCAGCTTTCTTAGCGTTATTCAATGCAGTTCGTAGGAATTTCGCTTGGTTGGAGTTGCGAGTGTTTAATGTAAATAAGCAAGCACGGAAGCAGATATTACAATAATCACATATAGTAAAATGTCAACCTCTTTTAAAATGAAATATATTTTTATCAAAACAAGTGGAGTTTTAGAGATGATCTGGCCAATATTCAGCTATAGAACAACGGAAGGTTGGTAAAGAAAATAATTCTATAAATCTTCAATCACTATAGTTAAACAAACCAAACACACCCAATGCTGGAAAATAGACGATTTTTGTGAACACAAACAAAGGCTCTGACGAGGCTTAATTAATTTTATTAGCAATGACTCTCGCTGACAAATCTTGGATATTAAGTCCTGACATCTAAGACTCAGAAAGTTTCATACGCAGACTCATCCGCTCGCGATTGACTAAACTTCGATTTACTCGAAAACGTTCGATGTCACCATAACTAAATTAACAACTGTAGTCGCAGTCTGGTGATCATCCGACGAACACCTGAAAAACATCGCAGTGAATTAACTTTGGCTACAGCCGCATGTGCGCGTCCTGTACGTATTCTCATTAAAGAATTTGACATCTAAAGGCAAAAAAAAATCACCGAGAATGGTTATAAACTTTTATTTACGTTACGAACATGAATATAATCAACAAGGCATTTAACATATAGGGACTGTCAACCACGAGAAATGGATGAATTATTGTAGCAACATAATTGACCAGGGTCACAGGTCGAAGGGACACCAGAACCGCAATCCCTGTAGCCTGCTGGACAAGTTGTAAAGCACGTTCCAGCTATACTGCTACAACTGCAAGCTGAAAGACAAAGAGGTAAATGAATCAAACGTAGCAACAATGATACCCCTAAAGAATGAAAGAAGAAATCGTATTTTGCAGGTCGATTGATGTCTATAGTATTTTTTTATGACTGCATGCATCTCTCAAACGTGTGAACTAAAAAATTATTTTCGAAAGACTCCAAAAGATTCGTTTGATTTATTTGAAATGATGTATTTCTTCTCAGTGTTCATTAATAATAATAAGGATTCAAGTTTATTTCATAACTTTCTTAAATAGATTAAATTTAAAACAAATAAATGACTCTTACAATTTCGCTTTTCACCCGCATAGCCATGACATGTCTCCTCGAGGTACATTATAACAAATACTAAAACAAGCACTTGAACGATCTTCATCTTCCTTGCAACTCTGGCGATAAAGCAATTATAGCAGATACTTCAGTGAGTGCAAAAATTTATGTTATATAAGAAACGGTTTTTTGTTAATGATGGGTATAACCCGGATAATTAATATCATACTCTGTCTTAAGGATATAGGATGCAACTTTTTGAACTTTCTGGCCGTTTTTATTCCTAATTTCTAGAATGTAATTTTTTTCGCTCGAAATATAGCCATAGCTTATAGCCCGAATATAGCAAGTCAGAACTTGTGCATTTATAAATTACCACTCTGAGCACGCGTGATACGCCTCACTGACATAAACGTAGCTACGTTAAAAATGATAAAAATTCTTGGGAGGTCTTAGAAAATACAATTTGAACTCGTACACTTTTATCCAAAAATTGCTTCAGCCAAAAATCAAAAATTCAAAAAAAACCCCCGACGACATCCTCCGAACGGTTTGAATTACCAAGATGATGGCAGGCATTTTAAATATATCGTAGTGGTGTATCAGTTTATGTCCCCACATTCCCGAAAACAATGCAATGTACTTACTTGTATTTTCTTTTCAACTTCCAAGTCAAATCTCGAAATGTTTGTTAACCACAAACTAACGGTTTCAGGACTGCCAAGATTGTATCTTTGTCAGTAAAAGTTCAAAACTTTGCTTTCGTCGGCCTAGTGCACTGCATTTATACAAGAGGTCCGGAAGACAAGTTGTGTTGTATATTATACTATATTGTTTATCTGCTGATTTTAGCCAAACATATACGAGGATAAATATAATAATTATACAATTTTCGCCATTCAGCACAGCAGAAGACGTACGTCTCTGCATGGAACACGCGTCAACAAGTGCGGCTTAACGTGTGTTCCAAAAGTATCTCAGCGGAAGATAACAAATAACAATATACAATATTGTCCAGAAATAATCTAACAAAAACCGCGGTTAACCTATAGGTCAAAGCCAGAGGGTCAAAGCTCGGCCTCATCGCGATTGAACCGAGGTCAGGCCGAGGTTGAACCGCGGTGAGACGGAGGTTAAACCTCGGCCTAACTTGGTCTGACAGGCATTTCTTAAGACTTTTCCGATCTGGCTATTGTGTTCTCGTTCTCAGCTGTTCTTAACATTTCGTTCGGAAGCGAACGGCCACTGCGAAGTTATTTTCCCTTGCTGTCGTCTGCGGTTTCTCTTGGTCGACTGCAACGGAACCGCAACCGCAGTGTTGGTTATTTCTGGAAATTACTGTAGCAAATGCAAAATTCCGTCATCACACAGAGCGGCAGGAGACCCTATAGCGTTGCCTAATCGGTTTCGTGAAGAAAACAAAAGACAAAAAGCTAAACGGTAACATTCTAAAAATGTAGCACCAGATAGATTCCTTGTCGTTATGGACACATGCACTAAATGTCAAGTCCATTTATGTATAGTTGAAGGAAAAAACTGTTTTAAAGATTTTCATTGTAAATAATTGGAAATAATAACGAATAGCTTGAATATTCTGGGACAAAAGTTATTTTCGCCATTCAGCACGGCAGAAGACGTCTCTGAAACACACGTCAACAAGTGCGGTTTAACGCGTGTGTGTTCCAAAAGTATCTCAGCGGAAGATAACAATACACAATATTGTTTGACTTCGTCAACCCTTCTCTCTACACCGTTCCATCAAATCTCTGAGATACTTGCCATGGTCGAGATAAGCCTCTTCATGTGTTCCACTGACTGCCATAAAAAAACATAAAACTTTGTCTCTAGTTTGTTTCACAATAACACACCATTTCTACCATTCCCGCATAATGTTGCTCCGGAGCAACAATTCCAAAATACCCTAAAACACACCCAAAAATTGCCATCTGATATTTTTTTCCTTAAAAAGTTAAAATTTATGCAGAAAGTACGCGGACTCCTCCGAGCGGTTGTTGTGTTGTTCAAAAAAGCTTGGGCTATTGAAGTATAAGAATTTACCATCAAAACAAAGCTACAATATAGCTTGTTTGCGTTTGTACTTATTTAACAACCTTGTAGCCTTTTCAGTCTTTTTTTTTACGAAACCAATTTTTTCAGGCAACATGCACTAGTGTCTCCTACTGCTCAGTGTCCTGTCGCAGTTTTATCCCCTTCTGAGATACTTCGGCCGGAACACGCGTTAAGCCGCACATGCTGACGAGCGTTACCAATGCATCTTCCGCTGTGCTGAATTGTAAAGAAAACTTTATAAAATTGCCCTATATTGCTGGAAAAAGTAATGAAAATAATTACGAAGATAGGTTTTTTACAACCCTGAACCGATTATTGCATTGGAACTCGATTAGCGCGTAAACAAAGACTACCAAAACACCAGTCTGTGATGGCCATAAAACGTATATATCAATATCTGTCCCGACGCTTTTCCAACAATTTTTAGGGTATAAAGAACAGATTATCAAAGCTCTGGCTAGAAGCTAGAGGCGGGGGGCTCATTTTCTGCATTCGTCTGACTGATTTCTTTCAATAGCGTTGTTTGGCTTTGGCTATATGGCCGCTATAAACTAATAAACTTTGGCTATAGCCGCATTTACGTTTCGAACATGAATATATTCTACAATACATTAACATAGGGACTGTCAACGACGAAGAAATGCATGAGGGCAAAATGTACTGTTACATCAGTAGCAGCATAATTCATGAACATATGCATATTAAGAAATCAATCAGGCATAATACGAATAATATATGATATGATATACACCCCCAATTAAACCTTCAGCGACTGCTCCTATTTATCCCTCGATTAAGTTTCTAGCGATAACAACAACCGTTCAGGAAGTCCGTGTTCCTTTCCCTTTCCAGCATAAATCTTAATTTTTGAAGGAAAAGATATCAGATGGCAAATTACATGTACTTGTGTAGGCTAATAGTCATTTGAATGGGAAAAAATTTTTGGGTGTGTTTTAGAGTATTTTGGAATTGTTGCTCCGGAGCAACATTATGCGGGAATGGTAGAAATGGTGTGTTATTGTGAAACAAACTAGAGACAAAGTTTTATGTTTTTTATGGCAGTGGTGCAACAGATGAAGAGGCTTATCTCGACAATGGCAAGTATCTCAGAGATTTGATGGAACGGTGTAGAGAGAAGGGTTGACGAAGTCTAACAATATTGTGTATTGTTATCTTCCGCTGAGATACTTTTGGAACACACACGCGTTAAGCCGCACTTGTTGACGTGTGTTCCAGAGACGTCTTCTGCTGTGCTGAATGGCGAAAACAACTTTTTTCCCCCAGAATATTCATGCTATTCCTTATTATTTACAATTATTTACAATGAAAATCTTTAAAACAGTTTTTTCCTTCAACTATATATACATAAATGGACTTGACATTTAGTGCATGTGTCCATAACGACAAGGAATCTATCTGGCGCTACATTTTTAGAATGTTACCGTTTAGCTTTTTGTCTTTTGTTTTCTTCACGAAACAGATTCGGCAACGCTATAGGGTCTCCTACCGCTCTGTGTGATGACGGAATTTTGCATTTGCTACAGTGATTTCCAGAAATAACCAACACTGCGGTTGCGGTTCCGTTGCAGTCGACCAAGAGAAACCGCAGACGACAGCAAGGGAAAATAAATTCGCAGTGGCCGTTCGCTTCCGAACGAAATGTTAAGAACAACACTATAAAACGAGAACACAATAGCCAGATCGGAAAAGTCTTAAGAAATGCCTGTCAGACCAAGTTAGGCCGAGGTTTAACCTCCGTCTCACCGCGGTTCAACCTCGGCCTGACCTCGGTTCAATCGCGATGAGGCCGAGCTTTGACCCTCTTGCTTTGACCTATAGGTTAACCGCGGTTATTGTTAGATTATTTCTGGACAATATTGTATATTGTTATTTGTTATCTTCCGCTGAGATACTTTTGAAACACACGTTAAGCCGCACTTGTTGACGCGTGTTCCAGAGACGTACGTCTTCTGCTGTGCTGAATGGCGAAAATTGTATAATTATTATATTTATCCTCGTATATGTTTGGCTAAAATCAGCAGATAAACAATATAGTATAATATACAACACAACTTGTCTTCCGGACCTCTTGTATAAATGCAGTGCATGCACTAGGCCGACGAAAGCAAAGTTTTGAACTTTTACTGACAAAGATACAATCTCAGCAGTCCTGAAACCGTTAGTTTGTGGTTAACAAACATTTCGAGATTTGACTTGGAAGTTGAAAAGAAAATAGAAGTAAGTACATTGCATTGTTTTCGGGAATGTGGGGACATAAACTGATACACCACTACGATATATTTAAAATGCCTGCCATCATCTTGGTAATTCAAACCGTTCGGAGGATGTCGTCGGGGTTTTTTTTGAATTTTTGATTTTTGGCTGAAGCAATTTTTGGATAAAAGTGTACGAGTTCAAATTGTATTTTCTAAGACCTCCCAAGAATTTTTATCATTTTTAACGTAGCTACGTTTATGTCAGTGAGGCGTATCACGCGTGCTCAGAGTGGTAATTTATAAATGCGCAAGTTCTGACTTGCTATATTCGGGCTATAAGCTATGGCTATATTTCGAGCGAAAAAAATTACATTCTAGAAATTAGGAATAAAAACGGCCAGAAAGTTCAAAAAGTTGCATCCTATATCCTTAAGACAGAGTATGATATTAATTATCCGGGTTATACCCATCATTAACAAAAAACCGTTTCTTATATAACATAAATTTTTGCACTCACTGAAGTATCTGCTATAATTGCTTTATCGCCAGAGTTGCAAGGAAGATGAAGATCGTTCAAGTGCTTGTTTTAGTATTTGTTATAATGTACCTCGAGGAGACATGTCATGGCTATGCGGGTGAAAAGCGAAATTGTAAGAGTCATTTATTTGTTTTAAATTTAATCTATTTAAGAAAGTTATGAAATAAACTTGAATCCTTATTATTATTAATGAACACTGAGAAGAAATGCATCATTTCAAATAAATCAAACGAATCTTTTGGAGTCTTTCGAAAATAATTTTTTAGTTTACACGTTTGAGAGATGCATGCAGTCATAAAAAAATACTATAGACATCAATCGACCTGCAAAATACGTTGTTTTTTTTCATTCTTTAGGGGTATCATTGTTGCTACGTTTGATTCATTTATCTCTTTGTCTTTCAGCTTGCAGTTGTAGCAGTATAGCTGGAACGTGCTTTACAACTTGTCCAGCAGGCTACAGGGATTGCGGTTCTGGTGTCCCTTCGACCTGTGACCCTGGTCAATTATGCTGCTACAATAATTCATGCAGTTCTCGTGGTTGACAGTTCCTATATGTTAAATGCCTTGCCCTTGTTGATTATATTCATGTTCGTAACGTAAATAAAGGTTTATAACCATTCTCGGTGATTTTTTTTGCCCTTAGATGTCAAATTCTTTAATGAGAATACGTACAGGACGCGCACATGCGGCTGTAGCCAAAGTTAATTACACTGTAAGTAAACACTGCGATGTTTTTCAGGTGTTCGTCAGATGATCACCAGACTGCGACTACAGTTGTTAATATAGTTATGGTGACATCGAACGTTTTCGAGTAAATCGAAGTTTAGTCAATCGCGAGCGGATGAGTCTGCGTATGAAACTTTCTGAGTCTTGGATCTCATGACTTAATATCCAAGATTTGTCAGCGAGAGTCATTGCTAATAAAATTAATTAAGCCTCATCAGAGCCTTTGTTTGTGTTCACAAAAATCGTCTATTTTCCAGCATTGGGTGTGTTTGGTTTGTTTAACTATATATAGTGATTAAAGATTTATAGAATTATTGGCCAGATAACTCTCCACTTGTTTTGATAAAAATATATTTCGTTTTAAAAGAGGTTGACATTTTATTATATGTGATTATTGTAATATCTGCTTCCGTGCATGCTTGTTTATTTACATTAAACACTCGCAACTCCAACCAAGCGAAATTCCTACGAACTGCATTGAATAACGCTAAGAAAGCTGAGAATCTTGCTAAAGATTCCGGTCTCGAGGAAATGGTTTGCTGGGCTCAGACTACAATTGCTTCTTGTGTAGAGGCATTGGTAGTTGGGACTTTGTTGAAAATAAAAAACAGTATGGTGTATAAAGTATGGCAAAGAGTGTGAGAATAACTCTATATATATACGTGCCTGTATCCAAAAAGCACACTCACACTCATTGATTGTCACATACAAATGTTATTATTACTGATCGATCAATGAGAAAGTTGTAACCATTGGAGCCATTCAAGGTAAAGCACTGAAAATCAAGATCTTGTTCGATTGGAAATACCTATGAGAAGATTAAGATCGCTCACTTAATGAGTTTGAGTGTGAGTGAGGTTTTAGAATACAGGCGTTACTATACGTGCCTTTGCCTATAGTAATATATACAATAGACCATTTTGATGAAGATGGACAACTGATTACATCGCTATGGTCGAATGTATTGTAAAATACCTCACAGGATGTACAATGCCATCCCAAGAAGATTTTTTTAATAGTCGAGAGTAAATTATCAGGCAGGGGCACGAATGAGGGGGTGGCGTGGGTTTAACATGTCTCGAATCTTTCTCAGCGGGCATTCTAATCGTTCCTTTATTTATATACCGATAATAAACAGTAATAATGTACTTGAAGATCAAGTTGAATATATTTTTTCCTTCTATACTTCTGTGAGACTTTTATGCTGCTAAATTCAAAATATGCAACGGTCGTGTTTGCAAATGCGGCTATCTCCACCGCGTTGTTAGACTTGAAATACGAATATTCACCTGACGTACAATATGCCATCTTTTGAGAGTCCTTCATCCGACCCCTGGGGACAATCTCGTATAGGGAAAAACCCATTTTTTGTTTATGCATATGATAACCTGATTATATTTGTTGCATGTGTAACGCAAATGATAAACTGATTTGTGCTGAGGGTTTTAGATGTGAAATATTCTCTCAACAAAACGTATAATCGTGTGGTAAGTACGCGGGCGAATATGTAACCGCCATTTTGCATGCGCACTACAAATTTAGGCGCCGTTCACAGGGTATATACCGGATTGCCGTCGGAACAGGTCAAATTTTGAGGTTAATAAAGTACAGTGAAGTTTTAATGTCTGTGATTTGAATAAATAAATACACTAAATCTATCAAATTGGTAAGTGTTTTTTAATAATCGTTGCTTCGTACGGCTAATAAGGATGTCGTGTCGAGCGAACCAGTATCTTGTGAACGCAGCCTCAGTAAATTCTGGCAAAGTAAAACATCGGTAGAGTTATATGTCATATTATATTTAGCATATATCTTGAATACAACAGGCCGAGCAATACGCAACCTTTCCACGTTGTGTCAAGTTTTTTTCAGTTACGACGTAACATTATGTAAACTAAATTGTGTTAATCGTGCATGCCTCTACTACTAAACTTAGATAATTCGTGTAAGGAAACGTGTTTGCCACCCGTGTTTAGAATATACATGTGAATGTCTATATAGCTATATGTTTCCGGCCAAGTTTCCGGTTACATGCAACATCGCAAATATTTTTACCTAATGAACACCTAATGAAGTGCATTATTGTATCAATTAACGCGTTGTTTGTACTCTTGCATTAGCGAGTTTAAGATGCACCAAACTACGATGCGGACGTGAGATGAAAACTGCCGCTAGTGTTAGGAAACCGGTATTAATTTGTTTTACTTACGGCTTTAACTTTGTTTATGAAATAGAGTCAATAATTCCTTGACCTACGTGCAAAAATTCCCCGAATTTCGTTGCTCGTGCGAAGATGCTAAAATCGGTACCCGTACCCAATTTCACTACAGCTTTTGTATTGGAAGCCTGATTCACATTTTAAACACGAACATGAGAGCAGAACGTCTCATTTTACGAAAATCCATTCGAACAATTCATGTTCAAAATTTTCCAAAGAAACGTTTCGTCGTAACCAAGCCTCATTCACATTCAGTCATTGAGTTGAGATTTCAATCTTCTTTCAAATTCCCATTTAAAGGTGGTCAAGGTCATTAGACATTTTTCTTTTATTTTGAAAAATATACAAATCTTTTCATAACACATTGCAAGCCAAGTTGCATTGGGTGAAAAAAGATTTGTAGGAATCACTATAGTTACCCAGACGAAACACACCCAATGGTGGAAAATAGACGATTTTTGTGAACACAAACATAGGCTCTAAAAAGGCTTGATTAATTTTATTAGCAATGACTCTCGCTGACAAATCTTGGATATTAAGTCTTGACGTCCAAGATTGAGAAAGTTTCATACGTTGAGACTCGTCCTCTCGCGATTGACCGCTAAACTTCGAATTACTCGAAAACGTTGGATGTCACTATAACTATATTAACAACTGTAGTTGCAGTCTGGTGATCATCCGACGAATACGTGCACCTGAAAAACATCGCAGTGCATGAATAAACTTTGGCTACAGCCGCATGTGCACGTCCTGTACGTACTTTCATTAAGAAATTGACACCTAAAGCAAAAAAATCACCGGGAATGGGTATAAACCTTTATTTACGTTACAAACATGAATATATTCAACAGGACATTAACATAGGGACTGTTAAAGACGAAGAAATGCATGAAGGAAAAATAGACTGTTATAATGTTCTAGTCGTAGTTGATGTAGCAGCATAATTCCTCATCGCCACAGATCGGAGGAACACCACGACCGCAATCCCTCGTGCCTATTGGGCAATCGAAGGCAACGCACTGTCCAGGTATACCATTACAACTGCAAGCTGAAAGACAAAGAAGTAAATAAATCAAACGTAACAACAATGATATGCCTGAAGAATGAAAGAAGAAATCCTATTTTGCAAGTATAGTAATTTTTTATGACTGCATGATTTTTCAAACGTCTAGACAAAAAAATTATTTTCAAAAAATTCGTTTGATCGATTCAAAATGATGCATTTATTTTCAGTGTTCATTAATAATAATAAGGCTTCAAGTTTATTTCATAACTTTCCTAAATAGAGAAAATTTAAAGCAAATAAATGACTCTTACATTTCTGCGTTTCACCCGCACGGCCATTACATGTTTCCCCCAGGTACAGTATAACAAATACCAAAACAAGCACTTGAACGATTTTCATCTTCCTTGCAACTCTGACGATAAAACAATCATAACAGATACTTCAGTGAGTGCAAAACATTTATATTATACAAGAAACGGTTTTGTGTTAATGGTGGGTATAACCCGGATAATTAATATCATACTCTGCCCTTAAGTATAGGATGCAACTTTTTGAACTTTCTGGCTGTTTTTATTCTTAATTTCTAGAATGTATTTTTTTTCGCTCGAAATATCAGCCTTAGCTTATATCCCGAATATAACAAGTCAGAACTTGCGCATTTATAAATTACCACTCTTAGCACTTATACGGCCGCGTGATTTACTGACATAAACGTACGTTAAAAATGATAAAAATTCTTGCGAGATCTTAGGAAATACAATTTGAACTCATACCCTTTCATCCGGCAAAAATTGCTTTACCAAAAAACAAAAAATTAAAAAAAACGCCAACGATATCCCCCGAAGTTTGAATACCAAAATCATGGCAGGCATTTTAAATATATCGTAGTGGTGTATCAGTTTATGTCCCCACATTCCCGAAAACAATACAATGTACTTACTTCAAATGTCTTTTCAACTTCCAAGTCAAATCTCGAAATGTTTGTTAACCACAAACTAACGATTTCAGGACTGCCGAGATTGTATCTTTGTCGGTAAAAGTTCCAAACTTTGTTTTGGTCGGCCTAGTGCACTGCATTTATACAAGAGGTCCGTAAGACAAGTTGTGCTGTATATCATACTATATTGTTTATCTGCTGATTTTAGCCAAACATATACGAGGACCTTGCTATAATTATGCAAAAAGTTTTTTTCCCTATTCAGCACGGCAGAAGACGTCTCTGCTTAACGTGTGTTTTAAAAGTATCTCGGCAGGAGATAACAATATTGTCAACAAATAACCTAAAAAAAACCGCAGTTAACCTATAGGTCAAAGTTCGCCTTGATCGCGGTTGAACCGAGGTCAGGCCGAGGTTGAACCGCGGTGAGACGGAGGTTAAACCTCGGCCTAACTCGGTCTGACAGGCATTTCTTAAGATCTTTTTGATTTGGCTATTGTGTTCTCGTTCTCAGCTGTTTTTAACATTTCGTTCGGAAGCGAACGGCCACTGCGAAGTTATTTTTCCTTTGCGGTCGTCTGCGGTTTCAATCTGTCGACCGCA